GGGGGGGGGGAGGGGGGAGTAGAGAGAAGAAGAATATGGCAAATTGACAACGCACCTAAGAGATGAATTGCGGTGTTGCTGTTGTTGTTGATTGTGAGAATCATCCTCAGTGAGGGAGAGATTGGACCCAGCAACATAGAGACCTTGGCCTTGTCGTAGACCCTGACCCAGAGCCTTCTTCAACTCCAAAAGCTTTTGCTTTTGCAGTCGAATAGTCTAAAATCGGAGGGAAGTAAGAATTGAATAGTACTTCTATTAATAAGATGGATATATAAAAGAATAGAGGCCTTGCAACAACTTTGTCAATATTATGGTGAAAAAGGAAATTACGCAAGTAATATATAAATTTTGATAACAAAAAAGTGAAATTCTGTGATTGCAAACTTTCAAGATGAATTCTAAATGCGATAAAAGCGCCAAGACAAATATTGAATAGACGACGGCTGAATGAGGAAATGACCAAGGATTACGTCAATTTACCCGACGGCATAGAAGAAATATCCCCAAGGGCTCCTATTGAACTTTATTTAATTGAACTCCGAAAATGTCATGCAAACTACGGAAAGAGATAATAGACCTGACTGATAAAGTAAAAATTGCACCATTTTTAAATATTTTTACATTAGACTAGAATTGCGGGATACTTTGACTGGTTTCTGCGATTGGCAAGAGTTCATGGAGGCAGTCAATCATCCAAACCGAAGTTCCCACACTATGCATTTTCAAATTTAGCAAGCAGAAAAAAAATTTATTCACATTTTAAAAATAACTATAACTGTTGGTAAAAGACTCAAAATACAAAAACCAAGGTAAGAATTCATTTAAAGACAACGGAATCTAGTGAAAAAACGCAATTTTTACGAATTCAATAATCAAACAAAAAATTATCAAAAAACAGAAATGCCAGCTTAAAAGTAAACTACACTTTTGATAAACAAGACGTTCGAACATCGGTGGATATAGTGTTCTGCATACTTAAAAAATGAACTGAGTGTCGTAGAGAACTGGGGCAGGCACTCTTCACAACGTGGGAAGAGGGGGGCGGGGGGTGGGCCTGATAGCGAGATCTGGGAACACTGAATTCTCAGCTCTTAAATTCTGCTCCAAAATTCTTCCCCCTCCTCCTTTATGCTATATACGATAACACATGCGCTTTTTTATTGCACATCTTAAAAATATGAATAAATCATTCGCCAACCTAGAGATCCAGAGGAAGGAGGGAGGGTGGGAGGGAGGGGGGGGGGGGGGAGGGAGGGGGGGGGGAGAGAGAGAGTAAAGGAGGGAGACTGCAAATTCCAACACGTTCACGTTTCCCTGTTTACGAGTGATCCCATCGGAAACGCGAACGTACCAATGCCTCTCCCCTCCCCCCCCCTCTCCCTCTCCCCCAAGCATCTCTAAATTAACCACACTCTTGGTCTGAGGTGAGAAGTGAGCGTGCAAACACACTCATTTCAACGGACCAGTCCACCTTGGAACAACTGTTGAGTTCTATAGGACAGAGACGAGCTAGTTGGGAACCACTCAAAATGGAGGCTGGAATACAATGAACACAATACCAGGTGCATAGTTCGATACATGAAAGGGTGGTAGCAAAGAAATCCTGTACCTACAAAAGAGCACCTAAGTCATCATTTACAACTACTCCCCTCCCCCCCTCCCCCTCCCCCCTCCCTGTTGCAACTGCAGTGTTTCCATCCACAGGTTTGAACTAAAAACCAATTCCAGTGTTTTCCTGTTCGGTCGCATTTCGAAATGGCTTTGCTCGAAGTATAGTCTGTGGAAGTGGAAAAGGTGAAGAGGGAGTGGAGTTGAGTGGAGTGGAGTGGGGCGAAGCTAGGTGAATATGGATTAGGAGGTAGAAGATCTCAATTCTTATCGTCAAATTCTTGTTAGGTCATTTCTGTCTTGAATGCTTGTGTGAGTGATGTGCTCGGGAGGTGTTTCTTCTGAGGGTTAGTGGGTGGGCAGACGGGTGGGCATTACCATGTTTAGGAATTATAGCTTTCCGTCCAAGTTAGCTTGAACACTTATCGTTCAATAGGTGGTGGTTTACTCTTCCCCATCTCTAAAGAAAGTAATAAACGTCGGCTGGGACACATTCGCCCGAACATTGCACTCTGTAGTGCATTTTTCCATGTACTTCTCTCCAAGTATTTGGAAGAAGTATTCAAGCATCAACTCTGATTTGGCTCAGGTAATGAGGTGGGTGTGTGTTTGGTTTGAAGACCACAATAACTTACTCAAGCTTACTTTGTCGTGAAGGACCCACTTTTGGGATTCAGTAGCAAGTTGTCAAGAAATGGGTAAATTACCTGTTGACACGAAAACAGGGGAAAGTACTAGTTTCTCTTCTCACCTTAGTTGGGCTGAGGGAGAGAGATAGAGCGTTAGTGGGGAGGGGAGAGGGGAGAATTGATGGGTTGCACATCGTCGGTCTGTAGGTAAGCGATCATAAATTTCAGTAATGGCGCGTGCACAAGAACTGTTGAGGGAAAAGGAGCATGCAAACGTCTGTCTGACGTGTGTTCTCTTCGGCGCTTTTGGGGGTTGAACACTTTTGCCCCTTAACAAGAAACTTAACTCGATTGGCCCAATAATAAAATGAAACGATTTTTCGACTTGTGAAAAAGTTACTGCTGTTTCCTTCGCTAGCATCCGATTGTAAAGTATGGAATTTCTGCTTAATAAGATTGGAGAATCTGAAAGAGCATTTTTTCTATAATAGGCACTGAATTGTTAGAATGCAATACTGCATGTAAAGAAGCCATTAGTCAAAGCTCTTGCCAAAAAATGCGAATCCCCAATCACTTGAAGTAAAAAATAAAACCCGTTTAACTCGCAGTAAATTGACAAGCAGGAACAATCTCTTTTTTTCAGGCAAATAGGAAGTAAATAGGAACCAAGGAAAAACCAGAATACCATCCCTTGCATACAGAGCCGAACTCATTTACTGACTGGAAGAGAACGTCTTCAAGGTGGTTACATATATTTGATCGATAACAGATGATAGGGAAAAAGGTAAAATATAAGGATGTCTTCCCTGAAAGTTGAAAGTGTTTCAATGGAGCGAATTGTGATTGGCACTTTCAAGATAAACAGAAGAGAATTACAGGGATTATCATTAAAGATAGTTTAAATTCTCTTACAGCTTCGTTGGCAAACATTCACAATCTAATTCTAACTCGTCTGCTGCCAAAAGAAGGCCACAACCTTAAAGTAAACAAAATTAAATTGTTGACGGTGCTATCATTCCAATCTACACTTAGGTAGAACTTCAGCTGATATAGGCTAAGCTAAGGAGTTAACTACTTCTATTTGAGTACTCTAAGCGAATGCAAGGACTATATATGCTTTATAAAAACGTGGCGATCTTCTGATAGGTCAGCCAATAGCACTCAAGATTATATATATCGCCGCTTTGTAACGGGGAGCCAATTCGCCATTGTTCCTAAAAAACTTCACACCAATGATAAACCAAAAAGGTGAATGCAGTAGTCCGGAAATGACTTTAAATCGATAATCTCGTGAGTATGAAGATACAGTTGTTGGCTCACACACAATTTGGGAAGGGATTTTATCTTCAGATCACTATCATTATATTGCTTGTACAGAATGTTTATTACCAAACAAGCATGCCCTTTTAAACCTGGAGATTAGGCTTGCAAACTTCTTTCAGTGGTTGGGAAGGAGGAATGATCTTGTCTGCTATCCAACAACTTACACCAGTAAAAAATATATAACAAATGATTAGTCCGAAGCTTAGGAGAGAGCAAGACTAAACTTACTCCACATGATTAAATGTTCGGTAACTATTTACTAGCCACGAAAAGGTGTAGTTTTTCATCTCATATATATATATATATGCATATATGTACGGGGTACTTTAGAGATGGGCACTGTACATATCAAGTTTGACTGATATTCGAGGAAAACTACGAAATTTCATGTTTGTAACAAAGTATATCATGGGCGTTTGCCTAGGATAAATTACTTACAAAGCTTCTCTTTCATTAGATTGACAGTTTATTTTAACAGGTAGCTCTTTTAATAATTCGAAAGTCTGTATCCAGAAAGTCGGAAAATAGATAAAAGTTTATAAATTAAAACGTGAATATCACTTTGTGTGAAAGTACAAAATGAATAAAAATTATAAAGGTAAATACTTAGCTTATCACCCTTTACTCAAACTGTCACCGATTTTAGACGTATATTCAACAAAATAGTAATGATTTAATTTGTTGATTCACCTTATTTCGATCTGAAATGACCTCGTTCAACTCATCGATTGTAGCCTTGAGAGATCCAACTTCATCCATCAATTCTTGCTTCTGGTTCGATGCCATTTCTGCTATTCGAACGGCGAAATCTTTCTCCATTTCGACTATCTGAAAAGTAGTTACATTTGGTGGAGTTAAAATGCTACTTATATGTTTAAGTAGTGTTTTTATTGGAAGCCTACCTTTGACTGAAGAGTCGTCTGTACATCTCTAAGACTCTGACATTCCAATTCCACTGACTGCGCTGAACGTTGACTCTCAGCAAATTTATCCTGAATGGATTTGAGCTCTTCCTCAGTACTAGCCAGCTTTTCTCTCATATTAGAGGAATGGGCTTGGTGCGCTTGTTCGAGATTTTCCTTTTCAGCCCGCAAGTCTTCATTTGTATTACGAAGAGAGCTAAGTTGATCCTCCAGTTTCGCAACCTTGAGCAAATGACATGTTTTAGTTAAAAAATTAATAATAAGTCAAAGAATTTCAAATTAATGAAAACTAACCGTATCGTTGATTTGCTGAGTAGAAGATTGTTGTTGAGAGTTCGCCTCTTTCAACTGGCCAATCTCGACTGTTTTAGCTTCTATTTGAACGAGTAGGTCTTCTTTCTCCTGCTTCAGTTTGCTTACAGATTTAACTCTCTTCTCAACATCCTTTTCAAGGGTTACAATTCTTTGCTGCAGCTCCTGTTGGATCTTATCTTTCTCCTTCGTCAGCACATCCACAGATTTGCTGCTAGATTCAGCAGTCTTTTCCAAGGCCACAATCCGTGTTTGAAGCTCTTGCTATAAATAATAAAACGAAAAGTTGGCAAGAAGTCAGGTGTGCTACCATAACAGATATAACTGTGAGAATAAAATATCAGCACATACTTGTTGAGCCTCTCTCTCAGCATTAAGAGCGTCAGTCACGGCTGTTGCCGCTTTGAGTTCCTTTTCCAGATTCGTAATATGTAGCTGGAGTTCAGTCTAAATTGAAACATTATCCAATATACCAATGAAAACAGTTAAGTGAGTGAAAGAGCATTTTAATTTTCAAATCAATATATTGCTTTTAGTGCCTGGATTAGCTGGATTAGGATTAGAATTATAAAATTGATGCAATTAACAGTAAATGAACTTACCACCATTTCCATTTTTTCCTGTTTCAACAATTCCGACATTTTGGACTTGTTTTCAAGCTCCTTTTCCAGCTCAGAAATCTTTGACTGAAGCTCCTCCTACAAATTCAAAATTAGGTTATTAAAGAAGGGTCCAAATGGTTTTGAAATTCAATGAACCAAATTTGAGCACAACAGAAAATGAGGCCAATAATAATCCACTAAGATCAAATATCATTATCGCCTGTTGCATATATTGATCGATTTCATACGACAGATGCCAACTCCCCAAAAAGAATAGCTTAATGGAAAAGAGGGTTAGACTAATAAGTGACTGAACGAAAGTTGGGGTCCATACTGCTTTGCTCAAAATTTTAAATCGCACTTTATAGTTGCCAGTTTTTCGAGAAAGCTCCAGTTATAACTGCATTCAATTCTCAAACACCACTAACCTAGAATGAAGTCAAGTCGTTTTCAGCCTCTTAACAATATATGGCAATAAAAAGCAGAGCATAGGCTTAAACCGCTCATATCGATTTGCCATTGCCCTCTACCTACTTAGCATCGTTCTTTAATATGACTCACTTCTTGACCTATAAATTGTGTATCGAACTATACTCTTGTAATTAGGAAAAATTTCAGCTTATGCGTGACACACTTGTATTTTATGGTGATGGTGGATATTCAGTGGCCACCTCTCATTATAAGAGGGGAATTCGTAACAGCAATTTTTTTGGAATTGATACGTTTATGAACTTACAATTAGCAGAAGCATCCTGAATAAAATAAGGCGAATATTCATATCACGTGACATGAGGGAGGGCATTCTGGAGTCTAGCTCACTAATAACCAACCCACTTTCTACCACCCATCTTACTGATCAGGTATAAAACCTGATGAGTATTGGACTTTACGGCCTCTGGTTCATCACTTATGCCCGTTGGCCATTGCACAACTGGTGCACATTAATTAATAGCAAATGTTAATATTACCTTTAACTCCTCATTTTTACGCTGTAGGACATTAGACTGCTGGAGTTCGGCTTTCACTTTCTTTTCAGACTCCGTGATTCGCAGCTGGAGCTCCTGCTGTAATCGAATAAAACAAAAAAAGAAAGGAAAGTATTTCATTAAAACAGTAGTGACAATTGATTGAAAAGTTAGTACATTTTACTCACCTGCAATTCAGATTTCGATTGTCTTAGAATCTCCACTTCCTTGGCACGATTTTCAAGCTCTAATTCCAGGGCTGCAACCATTGATTGAAGTTCTTCCTGCAAATTTTGTCTCAAATTAAACATCAACTGCCCCTGTACAAATTTCGTTTTTAGAAGGTATCACTAACCTTTATTTCCTCCTTTTCTTGCTTCAAAGTGGAAGCTTGGTTAGCTCCAGTTTCTCTCTCCTGCTCGAGAAATTGGACTTGAGAATGAAGTTCTTTCTGTATAAACAAATGCAGAAAATTGGACATACAAGCGAATTTGATTTTCCAAGCTTATAATAGCCAAAGTGAAGGAACTCCTTCCCCCCCCCCCCCCCCCCCCCCCCCNCCTCCCCCCCCCCCCCCTCCCCCCTCGCATTCAATAACACCATAATTAATGGAAATGGTCGATAAGAGCGCGGAAGTAGTTCTATCTAATCGAATTATACTGTGGCTAAACCTGTAGATAATCCAGAACCCAACCCCCCCCCCCCACCCCCACCCCAGATTTTTAACACAAATCTTCTTCAATTTCTTCTTGTTCATACTTTATTTTCAAATTTACCCATTTTTCAAAAATAAATGTGAAAATTTGTAGTTACAAGCATGAAATAAGTTTGCAAAAATAGTAGTATTAATAATACACCTTTAACTCACCTTTAACTCCTCATTCTCACGTTTCAATGCAGCAATCTGTTGAAGCCCAATTTCAGCATTCTTTTCGGAATCGGCTATTCGAAATTCGAGCTCTTGCTTTAAAATTAAAAAACCGGCAATGGTTTAGACCTCAATTTAAATGTCAATTGTACGATTATTGTTAACAGTCTACACTAACTCTGATTTCACTTCTCTCTTGCCTCAATGTCTCCACTTCCTTGGTACGATTTTCAACCTCCACTTCCAGGGTGGAAATCATTGATTGAAGACTTTCCTATAGAAACGATTTCAAAATTGGCATAATAAGATTCTCGGTTTTTCGACTGGGGCTTAAGAGAATAGGCGCACTAACCATTATTTCCGCCTTTTCTTTCTCAAGAGAAACGACTTGCTTTGCACGAACGTCAACCTCCTGTTCTAGATCTTGTAATCGAGATTGAAGATCTTTCTTTAAATGTGAAAAAATACGAGAACATTATAAAGAAGACAACATCTTAATCCCTTAATAGCCTTAGAACCGCACGGCGCACTTTAAAAATAACCGCGACTGATACTAGACTGGTGGCAGAAGGCGCTATTGCCGATTGCAACATGTCGAATACGTCTATAGCCTTCGCCTGACACCAGCAAAATTCATCACGTTTTCGGCATCACTCTGCTTTGTGACACGCTTGAATACGATTGGGTGCATTTTTCAAAAAAAATAATTTGGGCGTTAAAGGTTAAAGAAGAAAATAAAATTTGGGCAAATATTTAAGGAACCAGATAACCAAGAAAGCATAGAATAAGCAAGTTAAAATTCAACCAAGCACTGCGGAAGAAATGAATGTTTTTTTTTCAAGTACATATGAATCCCGATCCCACGCCTAGAATATCATTATGAAACGCAAAGACAAAACTGTGAAGTATACTCTATTCTGAGCTAACTTTAGCTTTGATTTTACCTTTAATTCCTCGTTTTGGGACCCGATTTCATCAGTCTGTTGGAGCTTAGCTTCCATGAGCTTTTCAGAGTTGGCAAGACGAGATTGGAGCTCTTGCTACAGAAAAAAAACGAAACAAGGTACTAATAAAGGAAAAAAATTAGATTATCTTTATTAATATATATGTATATATATTACTTGAAGTTCACTTTGCTCCGCTTTCAACACTTCCACCTCCTTGGTACTAACTTCAAGCTGTGATTCCAAAGTTAAAATCATTGACTGGAATCCCTCCTTTTCAAATGACCAAAATATATTCAAGTAACACATGTGTTTTATCGTAATTGCGATTTAAGGAGATCGAAATGCTAACCTTCAATTCCGCCTTTTCTTGCTCCAAGTTGGCTGCTAGTTTTGAACTCCGTTCGATCTCATTCTCAAGAGCTTGAATTTGAGATTGAAGTTCTTTCTGCAAATATATTATTAGTTTTTAACAGGTGATCTCACAGGCATGTGCAATCATAAATTGACTGTGGTACACTACATACTCATTAATGATGTACATTGATCACGTAAATTATACAGCATAAGTAATGTGTTTCTGGCATGATAATTAAAGACTGGGATGGTTAACTTAACCAAAGGTTTACAAATTCGAGGAGAAACTGTGAATACACCCACTGGGCACAAATAAAATTTCAATTGTGCATTACGGGGTACATTGACCGAATTCTTGCAGAAAAAAAGTCATAAACAAAAGGGAAATTTCCAGAACCTAGTAATAGAAGCAATTTAAGTAAAACGCCTATCAATTCATGCATGTCAGTGGCCCATAAAGCTACAGTAATTTGATGTCACACTTCTATCATATATGGAATGTTGATTTAATTGTTCAATAAAGTACGTTAAAGAGATTCATTGCCGCGCGCTATTACAGAATTACTACTCGGTTTCCATTGAATGACCTACGGTTAACACCAAAGAGAAATGGCGCTTAAACTTCTTTTAGACCACCAACGGTTTTAAAACCATCCTCAAGTTCCTTCTCCAAGACAGATATACGAGCCTGGAGTTGAGTCTACATAATAATAATAATAATAATAATACACACGCTATAAATTATAGAATCATATTAGGTCTGCATCGAATCGTAGTATAAGTCATCAGACAAATTACCTGTCGATCCTCCGCCCCACGAGTCAGCTTATCAATCTGCTGGGATTTATCCGAAGCTTCTTGCTCCAATGCAAATATGCGAGATTTCAGCACTTTCTAGAAGACAAAAAGGTCCACATGAATTGCTACCACACCATAAATCAGCAGATATTCGATGGCAATTACACCAGAAAAACAAGGAGATCGCAAGCTACAATTTATTATTACCAACACTACTAGCAAAAAGTACCATGTCATGTTTGCAAGGAAAGTAATAAGACGTTCCAGATAAGTAAGTAGTCACCACACAATCGCATACTACCACTACACTACGATTATAAGTAACATTTACAACCAAAAAGGTCTGGGCGTTTACCCTTTTTCATTGAAGTAATGATACAGTCTTTGCATCACAATGTAGGCACTAAACCAAGGTTTATTAATTTATTTTACTCTTTTAATTAATTAAACCTCATAACAAAAAGAAAATATGAGGAAAACGCATAACAGCCATAAACACAGGGAGGACAGCAAATTTTGATGATGTTGTCCATAAGTAAAGTTTTCTCTTAAGACCAAATTGTGATTATCTACTTGATTCGATTAAACTCGGCACTCAAAATCAAATTATCAATCTTACATATAAGATTTAATTCGTGTGAAAGAAGGACAAGGTCATCTGAGAAGGAACTAGCTTAAGTGTAGCTCCCGAAATTGATCCTATCCGAATATCTTCAAAGCATTATTTTACAAAAGACAACAAAATCGCCTTCAATAACACAATATATTAATAATTAATTAATTAGCTATCAATTAATAAGTAAGAACTTTTAGTTTAAAATAGAATAGCATTAAACACAACGGCCGGTTATTGATTTAGGAAAATTATTAAACTAACTTATACCACGCACAAATAAAAGAGTGTATAAAGAGCTAGGGTAAAGTGATGCACGGAAAGTCAAAAAAGACGCCAATTAAGGGTAATGCAACCATTTCTGGGGTATAAATGTGTTTAAGTGGAAGGAGGCAAAGTTAATGAATGGCGACAACTTTGCATACCGTAAGTTCTTCCTTCTCCAGTTTGAGCTGTTCCATTGCTAGACTACCCGCCTCAACTTCCTTCTCCAAAGAGGATATTTGAGAATGTAGATCCTGCTGAAAAGAGTAGAAGTAGAACTTATTCAGCCAATTAAATGGGTACGAATCCTTCAAGTTAATAAAATAACCAGTTGATTTGAACTGGTTCATAAACACATGATTGCATGGCCATCCTTCATCTGAAGCTCGAGTAAAAAGAAAAATAACCCTAGGGTAGTAATTTCAAAACGAAAACATTCGAATGACCAATCAAACAAAAACGCATTCAGAGAAAAAAAGTTCAAACAGGAATGACTCAAGCCGATGAAGATAGTTGAGAAATCCACATCCCATAGATGATCTCCAAGTACTTGGCATTCTGCAGTGAATGTGGACTCTCAATGGTCAATTACAAGAAATATCAATAAAGCGTCCTGAAGTAAGGACGCAATCGTCTGCTGATCTGAGTCAATTGCTTCCCATCAATCTCTAACGCGCACACGTAAATCGTTTCAGTGGAGACTGAATATTTAGCATTATAGCAAGAGGCGAATATGAGAACTTTCAAACGTACCGAACTTTGCAGCGCTACGGCATGGTTGTGGCTCTCCAACTTTGCATTTTCTTGGAGAGATGAGACCTTGGCTTCAAGCGAGGCTCGTGTCAACTCCCAATCCCTACGCTCTTCATCGAGAGTCCTTTCAATCTCCGTTATTTTGGATTCTGCTGCCAATGAAGCTGCTTCAGCTTGTATGGATTTTTCCCGGGACTCTGAAAGCTGTCAGTAAAAATAATATTGGAGTATATCATTGTTACCAAACAATGAGAAAACTCCTTAAATGTTTCTACAGAAAGCGACGCTTCAATCGGCTAAAAGAGCCAGTCATCGTATAGGCAAAAGAATAAGTTCGGATGAAAATAGATTGATGAAACGTTTCAAATTCAATCATAGATTTCTAAAGAAGATGGCATATCCAAAGTGCCAAAATAAGTTTTCGTGACATTTCGAACGACTGTGAATCGAATATTTTGGTGGAACACCTGGAATGAAAATACTAGTGGAACGAAGAGGCAAAGTGAATGGGACTTAATCATGTCCATGTACCACCGAAAAGGAACGCTGAAACAACCGAGGAACAAACGCTGAAATCAAAGACCAAGTACTGGTAATAAGACGAGGATTAAAATGGAGGTGCCAAGGAACCAGTGTCATATTAAAGTGGGGGGGGGGGGGAACTCCCGAAATTCCCTAGTTTGACCTCTTTTTCCTTCACTGTCATTTGGTGAATATTTGGGAGTTTCTTTCGTATTTCGACGAGAAAATCATGAGACATCAGGAAAAAGACAACTAGTCAGATCTGCTAATTACAGGGAAGAAGAGTAATGATTAGAACGTAATTAAGGTAATAAAATTGAACCACTAACAACAGTAGTGAAGAAACAGAGAAGAATGCAGCGAGACCTGACATTCAACCTACCTTTCCATATCCCCTTAATTCTCTTTCCTACGGGTATCGCTTCATTCATTTGCTTTGGAATTTTTGTACCAATTTTTCCACGTTAACTAAAATATGCTTATTGAAATGTACTCTACCACGTAGATACATTTTCCATTAATTGGGTTCAAGGCTGATGTATTTGTCATCTCCTAATACGGTGTCAGATAAGCAGTTTATCACACATCTACGTAGGTGATATCAATGGAAGTTACTTACAGAAGAAATATAACCAGCTAAGGTAGGCTCGAATAACGATAAAAATTCAAAAGAGAATGAGCTTTTTACACGGAAATCAACAGAAATTAGGTACAAATTAAATCAGAAGAGAAGATAAACTCAAATAATTAAATATTGTACTTTAATTTGCTATGTATAAAGTCGAAAGAATCCTAGCTTGCAGCAACCAATTGTTCACGACTATTGAAGTAAATAGAGATGTGCATCATGAAGACATGACAACCCCCCCCCCCCTAAACCTAATTCATAAGTTCTGAAAGGCAAGGAGTAAGAAGGTCAAACATTGAAGACTTGATTTGTGGAACCAATTAGCAAAATTTGGACAACCTTATGGCAATTGACTCTCGTTGACTATAAAAACCTCCTAATCAGGTTAATTGCTCTTCTGTTTGGAGGGGCTTTTCCAGAGGGAGTTATAGAAAGAAACATTAAGAACTCACCTCTGTCTCCAATTTTTGTCGTTCACTTTCCCATTGAGCTCTTTCAGCTGCGAATTCTGAAGCATCTTCAGAAATTTTCTTATTCAGGTGGGTGATTTGAGATTCGTAAATGTTGATTTTCTCATTCCAGGTGGACTTTTCATCCTCCAGGCTTTTTCGTGCTTCAGCTAAGTATGTTTCCAATAGTTTGCGCTGAAGAGACAGGGGTAAGTGCGCAGATTGATAATTGAGTAAAAGGAAACAACTTCAGCAACAGTCAACAATGTGGAGCCAAGTAAACAGTAACTGCAACACAAGTGTGTCACTACGACGAAAAATGTTTCATCTACACCCCATCGAACTATGTCAGATTTCGCCTATCAAGTCTAATAAGCTATTTCAGACGAAAAACGAACACCTACTCTGGACTCCAAAACCTAGCCGCATGAAAAACAACTTTTGAAGCACAACAATCTAAGTACGCCTAACTTCCTCTGCACTGAAATTCATCAAGTTCCATCTGTTTAAACGATTGTAGTCGAAATATTTTATTAAGAGGTAATTTGGTAAAGACGTAGTGACTCTGCTTCTTTATGCGCAATCTAAATACGATACTTGTGAAGGACGGGAGTAAGGGAAAGTGTAGTAGTAAGGGACATAAAACCTCATGCAATACCTCAACAAGAAGCGTGGCACATCTTGTCGCTACGGCTTCCGGAGATTCTTCACTAGGAATGGAACTTGATGTGGATAGTGTAGCCTGGCCTATCTGCTCAGAGAGAGCAGGGTCAGGTTCAGTGAGAAGTACAATACGTTCCTCAAGGACCCGAATGCGATCCTGGAGATCGGCTTCACGCTCCGCTGCTCGTTCTTCTATGCAACGGGCTTTACTGAAAGCGTTCTCTGTTTCCAACTGAGCTGCTTTCAAAGCGCCAGAGGATTCTGATGCGGTACGCTCTTGGACGGTCAACGTAGATTTTATCTACAAGAAAGTAGGCAAAATGGCTATGCAACCAGTAAGGATTGTGCAATCAAGGTGTTTGACTCGAAAATAAGGCGTGATTTAAAATTACCAAGAGAAGATTAAAGGTCCCAATTGCAACATAAGCAGAAAAGAAATTATGCCTACTTGAAATAATAAGGGAATATTAAGAACGACTCAGTCTTTGGCTACCCAGGAGTTAAGGTTTCGGAGTTCATGCCAAATCAATTGGCTATAAATAAGAGAAAATCAAGTAAAAAAGGTAAGCGAAATGGTGATTTGAAAATGTATTAAGAAGCCAAATCCGTATACTCCCTTAGTGCACAAGATTATTGGTTATTGAATTATCCTGCTTGTGATTAGACATTTAATGATGATAATGCTATCTCTTACTGGCTAGCATATATGCCACTCTGAAAGGTAATTATAGGCACTCAACGTGAAGAAACAGGCTTGAGAGCTGCAGTACCTCTGTCTTCTACCTAACTCATTTTCTGGACATTTGCAGACCTAGTCGGCGGCAAAATAAACTATCGCTGGTTTATTTAAACTCTTTCACGTTTTTCGACTAATCCTTAATCCACAATATCCAGATGTATAAAAATTAATAGTATATAGAAATATTTCCGTAATTGTGTAAGACTATCACACTTAATCAAGCCATTAAATCGAGGTAAATGTACAAAGTTGACACACAGTCCAAGCAAAATTAATGTTGGCTAAATAGTGAAAGATAATAACAGAGTTGAGGAATTAAATTGAAACCCTGTTGACTGAGAGAGAGTGAGAGAAAGAGATAATAACTGATTTATTAATGTTTTAACCTAGCCCAAACAAAGTGAGCATGAATTGTACGAGAGCACATTACTTAACCACGTGACAGCTCAAATTAACGAGCTGGCACGTATAACACTGAGTAACGTGCAACAAGTAACTCCCACGAGTAAATATAAAAATTAGGCTTTTGTGAATTTTCTCCTTTTAGAAAACTGGTTTGAATATTCTTGATGCTCCTGAAGGAATTTTGCCGGCCACTGTTGACGATCGTCGATTTGCTATTTCCGCACAGAGAAAAGCAACCCCGATATAGCACTAATTCCAAACTATGTGGGCGTTAATATTTTCCTCATTGTACTGGCTGCCTTCTTTACTAAATCAACGAGGTCTAAGTGGATCATAGAAGTAGCGTTATTATAGTGAGCATGCAGATATACTGCATTTGCAGCCTAGTTAATTATAAGCAACGATTTGTTTAACCGTGAATAAGTATCGTAAATTCCAAACTTTTAGGGGAGTGACCATTGAAATGGCAAGATGTTTATAGTCAAGCTCAGAGACGGAAATCTAGACTATGTGATTGCCAGGGCTTAATAATGCTTTGTTGGTCAATGAGTATCAGTCTCAATAGTGTCAAAAGTTGAAGCATTTTCGTACTCTCTCTTTGATAGTTCGAATAAACCATCTTACTCACTAACAAAACAGCTAAATCCACTAAGAAAGAATTACAGAGCCATCAACTAAGAACTAGTTTTAAAAGGAGGTTTTAAAAGAAACCTTTACTAACTAAATAGAGGAAGGATAATAATTAGATTAAAATGAGGAAGTAAGATTAATTCATCGTTAGAAGCTCGTAATGTGCAAAGAATGCGAACCAAATATGGATAATATTGAACCAGAGAGCCGGTGTTGACTCACACTCATTACATGACAATAAAGCAAGTAAACAATAAAAATTCCGAAAACACTAATTAGGATGCAACCAGAATTTGATAGCAACTTGACATACCTTTTCCAACTCCTCAGAAAGCTCATTAAACCTTTTCTCAGCAACGGCTTTCTCCGATTCCAGTAGTTTCAACGCATCATCTTTAGCCAATTGATCACTACGCATTTTTGAGCTATAACAAAGGCAAAAAGGAGAGCCTTATCCCAAATTATGAACGAAGTAGATGTATCTTCAAACACCAAAACTCACCAAATATCCTTGGCTTCTTCCAAAGCCATATTCTTTACTTCTACCTCGTTAGAAACATGGGCGAGTTGTCGAGAAAGATTCTCATTTTCTGTCAATTTATCGGCTAGCTGGGACCTAAGTGTATGTATTTCCTCCTCAGCACCAAGAAGCTGTAAATTAAAAGCTGTAATAAGCGCATTTAATTCGTTCAAAATTAAAATAGGTAAAAATTACATTTAGTTTGACAGATTCCAATTCCATGTTAGTTTTTCGATGAAGTTCTTCCTTTTGTGCGATAACCTCCTCAGAAAGTCGGTTAACTGCAGCTAAGTTAGCTTCAGCTTTACTTAACATACTATTTAAATCGGAGCGATCTTCCGTTTCTTCGATGTCATGATTAAATCTAACAACACTCGGGGCATTCTCGGAGACTTCATTAGCTTGAAGGAGTTCTAAAAGTGGTTAGATTCTGGGAGTGTGAATAGCATACGAGTTTTGAGTCGATCGATTTCCTTTGCAGATGACTCGATAGAGGCATTCTTTTGACGAACTAAATTTTTGAGTTCGTCCAGTTTGCCTTCTAAGTACTTTATTCGATCACTTTTTCGATTCTAAATAAGTAAAAATAATTAAATAAAAAATTTGACTACCGTGGCCGCTGAATTCAAACTAGTCAAAGATTCGGTGGACTCCATCATGGAACCAGCTAAAAATAAGTAGCTTCCAATTAAGGAACTAACAAGTGATAAACAATCATGCGTTAATTATGCAAAGGTACTAATGAAAGGTTAAAAGGTTAAAGACATTGGCAATTAATAAAGTAAAAAATTAATAAAATTACTGAATATAAAGCGATTAAGATATAAATTACCGAAACTATCGGAGTACAAACGTTGTGGATAATAAGTGGAGAAATCGTGCCGAGACACTTATGTAGATAAAGTATAGAAAGCAATAAAATGACAAACCTGCGATTGTGCTTCTTACGGATCGCGAGTCTGAGGACCTTTTCTTGTTCCGATCCTTTGATATCTTATCCTGTAGGTTAGAAAACATTCTGTCGTTGTGGCCTTAAAACTCACAAGCCCTTGAAAATTCGCAATAGCTAGCAATGTATTAAAACAATTAATTAAAATGTGCTATTATCGAAGATATGTTATTAGGCATACCAAGATCATTTAACATGTTTCCGATATTGTCTAAATTTACTAGGTAATGAAACATTTTTTATTTTTTATTTATAGTCAATTCTGTTACTTAGAAAAACAGCATGCCTTATTTTCACATAAGTGGCTTTTCCTTTACCACATGACAAGATATATATGACATCATTGAGCACGTCCTGCTTCTAGTATAAAATAGCTCTTGAATTAAAAGTGAGCATGCGTGTAATTTAGACAGACGCTTGAAGCATTCTTGGATTGTAACTTCATGCATTCAATTTCACGTACATCGGTACCGCCAATTCATTAGTGGGAAGGTAGCCGGAAGACACCAATAAAAGATTAATACATATAAATTTTTATTGCAACGTTCCTCCTTCATGTGTGGTCGTCGATAATTGCATCTGACTAACATTTTAGGAATCTGAGAAAAACAGATGCTTTGGATGCTATTGTCGAGACATTAGTGTTTCGATCACCAGCTGTTGATTGGCACCTGCTGCCTAAACCACAATTTCAGTCAGATTATAAACTTAGATTTACTTATGTTTAATCTGATGGCATCTTGGTGGCTGTTATTTGCTTCTTCATTAATATTTACACAAAAAATTGCCAAAAAATCCGTATTAATTATCATTAATAATTAAAAATTGATCTTATATCTCATTTCGTTTTATGAGAAAATACAATTTGACAATACCACCGAGATTACCTTTACCCAAGCTAAAGTGTTTACATTTGAATATGCCCAATCAGCATGCAATGATACATTATGTATCATTATTATATTATTATTAACATAAAATAATAACTGTTTCAAAAGCATTTATGTGCCTTAGTTTAAAGTATGGAAAGTTAGGCGAAACGGAATAATTTTTCTTAACCTTAGAGTATAATAAGTACCCAGATAAAGCAAAACTGTCACAATGAATTTGAAATTAGTTAATTTGTTTTACTTGACAGCTCCAATTGCACTAACCCAAATTGTTCATGGCTACCTGGGATAGTAACTACTTTTCATCACTCATTTTCTCTTTTCCTCGAGCGATTGGCTCATTATTCTTAAACAATAATGTTAATCCTAGGGAAATGAAGCATGATCCTGACTTTTGGGCATTGTGCAGTATAAATTCCCAACATGTTTAGGCAAGGCAGTCTCGTGCCTGCTCGAGCATTCTGGAGCGTTCGCCCATTATGGTGATAGCGTTATTGAACAAATGAGATCACGAGAGCAGAGACCTCTCGTCGAATCAATAGTCACTATAGAGTCTGTATACTCGACAGAATGCGCAGCCCGAATGAGCATATCCCGTGCCGCAAGACCTGTTTACTCCATATCGTTGAAGTATCTATGCCAACTTGGGTTGGGGGGGGGGGGGGGATTAGTATCAAGATTAATTGGTATAAGTCATTGATTGGATGGATTGCTAAAGGAAGTATCACATTTTATTCATGTCCATAAAAATTTTAATAGGACAACAAAAACTTCAATCTGCATGCATCTCCTTTTTATTAAAGAAAATACCCACTTCATTTCTCAGCAGAAGCACATAAAAAGCGAATGGATAATACGATCATCAGTAGAGAGAAAGTTGCTATCAATAGTAGTAATAATATAAACATTCAAGTAAGCTCCTAGTTGTGCAGGAGAAAGAATAAGGGGGATGGGGGAAAGAATGGGAAAAAAGTAAGGCGCACTGTATTTCTATCTAGCCCGACCAATCCATTGGTTCATAGAACGGCCCCCAACCATGAAAGCACCGTCTAAACATAAATGGTTCAGCATTCTTAGCAGTTAACTTGAGCTGCCTTGGTTTACTAGGTTGAGCCCGACTCATATGTTCCTTATAGAGCTTGGCAGCCTGAAGGGAGAGCTTGACTTCCACATCTGATGTCTTTCGACCAAGCCAGAGATATATCTGCTCACCATTATCCAACATCATCACGTCGTCATTGGCAAGATCATCTTGACAGAAATCAGAACACTTTTCCGAAGCATGGAAGTAGCCCGCATCATTTGACAGGCGGAAAAGGCGGGAATAATTCAAGTAATCTGCATTCTGATCATATCTTGCCTTTCCACCTAGTGTTTGCCAGAAGATTTCTGGTTCTTCACCCTCAGATACCATCGATACATCAGTAGTCTCCTAAAATGTATATCCCAATATATTAGAAACTCGTTCCGGATTTGGATAGACCGGTAAAAAATATAAAACTGACGGGATCGTATATTTGGTCACAAATTGATTGTAGTATCTTTATGTCGTCTGTATGAGCCAATTTTCCTATCCATACAAAGACTTTATCCACATCGGTATTTGCTTTAGTCTTAGGCACCCGTAAAATGTAGGAGAAGGCGGAGTTTAAATTCTGAACGGTGGGTTTCACCTAAAAACAAAATAAACACTGTTACTAATCAAATATCAGTAGCCGAGTGTTTAAAGTTTCGGGAACGACACTTACCTGAAGACACCTAGTAGCAATAGGGTTTCCATTCATTCGGAGATGGTAGAACTGAACGGCATCACGTCTTTCAGGTTCATCACGATCTCGATAACTACCAGAATGGATAACCATCTTGCGGAGGAAGTGTGAAAGGAAGTACATGTCCTCCTGCTGCTGTTTCACGCGTTTAAATTCCACACTTAGCGGACGGCCATTGGCATTAGGATTTCGAGAGAGTTTGGCCTCCATATCTTTTCGGAGTGAGAAGTTAAATGTTAGCCAAGCCAGTTCAGATGCCTCTCGACCTTGCCAGAAGTAAACTACTGTCTTTGTAGGTTCCTCTTCATCTATTTCCTCATCCTGGTCTAATGTGGAAGCTCCATTGGGCCCTCCGTTGTCAGTCTTGTCTGTAGGTGATTCATCTTTGTTTTTTGTATTTTCCTCGCTGCTTGAAGAAAATTCATCGTCCCAATAGCTCGCAATGACAATATACGAGTCTTTGTTGAAGAAGTGACCAAACCATTGTGGGTCAACTGGAGCCCACTTTCGGTCTAAAATGACAAACTGTTGGAGCGAAGGGGTGGGTGAACCTTGTAAAAAGTCAGCATCCAGTTCGAGGGGCTCAATCAACTCATAATTAAGATCATTCATCAATTGAATAGCCTTGTCCCAAGCAAGTGGGGTCTCCCGTGGCGCTAAGAGAGCACGGAGATCCGTTTTAATTTGATCTCTCTCGAGGATGACGTTGGGATCCGCGCCACGCTCTGTCACAGATTGAGCAGTTCGCGTGAAATCTACCGCCATTGCCGGTTCCCAACCGACAAATTGAGCACGAAAGATCTAAAAGACGATAGAAATCCTAGATTGTTGGAACATATTAGCAGACATCAATAATTGAGAGCCAGGGACTATTTACAAACGAAAAGGAGCTCTGTGGCATTATTTAAGGGAGATTCCTTCTTATTACTAAGTAAACCGAGTTAATTCTTCTGCCATTGCGTAGAGAAAAGTTTGTGGATACATTTGTTTACTTCATACATTTCAATTTCACCTCCCATGCAATTTTTCGTATCCTCTGTCTGTGGCGTTTATTTAAACAACTCACTTTTATGTAAATAGATGCTTCATTCATGAGCGATCCAACAACGATCATACTACTTTCCTTATACAGGCTATTTGCATACCCCGAAGATTATGAGGTACAGAGAGTAGGAGGGGGGGGGGGGGGGTGTTATTCCCTGTGTACAGTGGCATTATTTCATAGTGTCGTGTCTCTGAATATTCAACTCAACTCTGACATCTTGTTCTATCGATTTGGCACAATGAGACACTAATACCACTAAAAGCTAGGTTTATTGCGGGGTGAAATCACAAAACATTTTAATCCAAATATTGGACATTTCAAAATACGACAGTCGGACTAATGATATCAAACATAATTCCTTTATTAAAGCACAAACTTATAGCGACCATGAGACTACTACAAGTTTACTTAGTGGTGCAACCTTAGTTTCAACAGCTTCAATTAATTAATTTTAAGAACTAATTTCACGTTCTTTAAGCTCTTTATCCGCATCCTCCAATTACATAGCACCTCTTTCTATTCTCTCCGAGCACATCATTCTACTACCGAATTTGAACCTATGGTTATGAAGGGCAGTACCTTTGCACTTTCTCAGTCCTATATAGAAGGAACTTGAGCAAGAACATAGCATTCAATCGGACACGAGGGAATATCATCCCAACTACTTACCTCACTTTCAGCGCCCTCCGGGCATGGCTGAGGAGGCAATCTTTTGTGAGCGGAGACAATTGGTTCCAGTGAGTTGTCTGCCACAATCTCATCAATTAGGATCTCTTCTGCACCACCGAAACAGCCTCGAGGCATCATCTCAGTCAATTCTTCAGCTAACTTGAATCCAGCGTAGCGTAGAAAACGGGCTGATCGCTTTCCCATCCAAACGAAGAGTTCACCGCCACTGTCTACCAGATAGACGTTATCAGAATTTAGAATGCCTCGGGTGAGCTGACCAAAGGGAAGATCAACCTGAGCAAAATGGAAATAGAGAGAGTAGCAGTCATTGATTTCTATATAAAAATCCAAGTAGTTTGAATATCTAACCACTTTATTAAAAGTTAACAAATTCAAACACTTGTAGGAGGATATCTACAAACGTAGCCTAAAAGTAATGTTCTGCCGCTTACCTGAAGCAGTTCCAAATATCCCTTCCCTAGCTTTACATCGTATAGAATAGGTTTAGGAAGTTTCCAATCCACCGAAATATAGTCTCTGGCCGGAGGAGGTTTCTGTACATTTTTGGGAGGCTTTGGATGATCCACAATGGCCTGAACTGGTCGTTCTTCTTGATGTTCCACAGCCGGTGGTCGGGGAGCTGGTTTCCACAAGCCCATTACAACGGCCCAGAATTCGGTTGATTCACGACCTTCGTGCTCCAGCGATATGGTTGCTTCATTGAGACGCTCCTTTTGTGCAATTTTTTCGGCAAGCAAGCGACCACGGGTCTGGATAAGGCGACGGGAGTTCGAGCCAAACCACACGTAGAGACAGGAGTCACCGTCAACGAGATATACAAACTTGGGATCAAGGGAGGCGGGAGATACGGGCATGGAGACTATGTACATTGTCTTCTCTTGACCGAAGAGACTAGACAAAGGAAAGAAACAACTTCAAGTGTTAGAGAGAGGGGGATAATGACAACTCAATCTGCATCAAATATTAGTACCTAATGGTAGATTATAGCTTGTGTAAAGCGGAAATGCTAGCCAAATCCAATTTAAATACTTTTCGGTATTGCTATTTTGAACTACCAATAACCATAGGTGATCTGGTTATGAAAATTCCCATTAAGATACCCCGGGTCTCTTGTGACTATACTAATTATACTACTAACCCTCTTACTGAATGACAAGAGAACATACCAGACATGATTAAGGTGGCTTCTTTAAGTCGAAAAATCAATATAATAGTATTACTTCTTTCAATCTTCTACCTCGTGATTGAGGATCTAACGTACTGGTCTGATGACTAATAAGGATTAAGAACAGCGCAATTATTCACCGTCTATGACCTTATATAGCCTCATTTCAAATTGTGTCCTTTTAGTGTGCTAACTGTCCTGATGGACCAAGATTTAAGGCGTGGCAATTGGTCTCATTAACTGAATCTCCCTACACTTGAATCTGATGCCAAATTTGACCTAATTTTGCTCGCTCCTGACATCCTCTAACTGGGCTATTCATCTTCCTATTTTTGTCACCAATTAATCATTCTACCTTTAATATATCACATGCACGTATAGTCTACCATTGATCTAGAACCGACTGCACCTATCAATTCTCACGCAACGGATAAGGTAATCCAAGAACATTAAGAACACCGCCACCAAGTCAATACCTCTATATGTCTCTCCACTATTAATATACACTAATGAATATCATAGCATCGATATCCAATGAAATGATTAGGCAACTGGTTTCTCTATGCTGGTGTTCCAAAAAATCATATCTACGGTTCTTCTTTCAATAGATCTTTCCGGTAAAATAATAAGCCTGACTTACTATTATCAATTCTACCAACTCGTCCAGCTGTATCAATTGCAAAGACGTGCGGTTCTAAACCACAGCGAGATATCATAGTGTCAGGAAGAGGTAGCTATTATAGTTGATAGATTAAATGAAGAGTACTGCAATTAATCCAGGCGCTTTTATGCATGCAAATTGGTTTCCGATAAATAGCAATAGCTGACTGACATCCCATCTTCTATCACAGTAGTTATGCAACCGATGTCTCTCTATAAGAATTATTTACTGAATTGAATTCATTGTATCTTAGCCGGGGTTAGAGGAGTACCTACCTATTAGAGATATTTGATCCATTGAATTCGTCTACAAAGCTAGAGACCTTTGGTTCGATATTCATGTTAGATGAGTGGAATGGCCACCACTATGGTTAAGATAAATAGGGCAGCAGAATTCAAGTTTCCGATTAAGTCAACTCCATGAAGCTTTTTCTCTACCCAAAACGAGTGGTGCAAACAACCTTTCAATGAAAGGAAATGGGGGTTGTATTGTGTTTTAAACCCTGTTTGACTAGCCAGTTGGTATTTCGAATGAATAGCAATGCTAAAAAGAGGGTCTTGGAAGAAATAATAAACAGTAAATGGGTAGATTTAGGACATAGAGGGACAACTAAACAAAACCTCAACTGGCTGGGATACGAAATACAATTCAGGAGAAATCATCTTCAATAATCTACTTGGTAGTACACAAAAATAAAACACTATCCAAGGAGACTCACCGATACATACGGACAATCGCCTCCTTGCAAGCCACAATATGGAAACCCGTTGACCCACTGCTTCCCTCCAATATAGTTATCTTATTGCCTGGAAAAAGAGCCAGAAACTCCTGCGACTCATCGCCCTGCTCCTCCCTCTGGGTTTGTCCGTCAATTCCCAGTAAATTGCGCAAATTCACTGCATGCATGGCGACGCAGGCCCTCTTGTCCAGACTCGCTTTGGAGCCAATCCAATAGAAGACATTCCACTCACGGTTGCCTGTGGCTCCTCCGTCTCTGGGCACTTCGGTCACTTCGCGGGTTTGAAGAATGATATAACAGTCACCGGAGAAGAGCTGCCCCACGTATTCCTCATCTTCGGGTTCGAAACGCTTAGGGTAGAACTCATCAATAACCCAAATTTCCACGCCAAGTTGAGTGCCAGCATCCTAAACCGAAAGCGAAACCAAGAAATGGCAGTAAAAATTTAAGTTTTGTTCACATTAATACCCTCCTATTACTACTAATGATTAAGTACAGTTTAATTAAGCACAAACTTAAGGCTACTAAGAACGAACTTTTACTAAACCTGAGACGATTGTCGCGGAAAAATGATGCCTGAAAGGAGCAACTTAAAGGAAATTAGAATTTTTGCTTAAAACCCCCTCCCCCATCACTTTGGTATTTATTCCAATATACCCAAGCTCAAAAGGGGACAACAGTAACAATCAGGAGAAACAGCCTCTGAGTAGATCAGCTTTCAGGATTATCCTCCTCAATGAAAGACAAGATGGCTAAGAGACAAGATTTCGAGCTCCTTTACATCCTCCTTCTTAGCAAAAAACATTAACCATTTGGCAAGATATTCAAGCTGAACTATTGAGAAGCATTGGATTAGGGCCAACCAATTGTATGAAAAGTGAGAATTCGATAAAAGCCCTCTAAATAAGTAGTAAATAAAAATGCAGCCGTTTCTTAGTATCACCCTGCTTCCGATTTTCAATTCTAAGGTGAATTCCATACATTCTCCAATCGTAAGTCTTTGCTATTTTGATAAAAGAAAAGAATGGACCGTTTTTAGGCAATAAGTCCAGTCCGGACGCCTTCAATTTGAACACACTAGTTCAGAGGGAACAAAGAAGAGGTAACATTCGAAATAAATGGTCATACTAACCTCATCAAAGATTTCTGAATAATCCAGGTTTGGTTTTGTTAGGGCATCTTTCCATCTCTTCGCGGTAGCCTGCTTCTCGGCATCAGCAGCAGCGGTTTCCGCATACCGTCGACGCATAATGGCGTCACGTTCGCCAGCAATATGCCGCATTCCAGCCAAGACGACCTGTCCACTCCCCTCTAGATCCTCGACACTGTTTTCACCACCATCCAGTCGACGTCGTCGCATGCGTTTCAGACGAGCGGCGGATTCCTAGATTCCAGATGATTGGAGGAAAGAATAAGTAGAACTGTTAATAACTTAGTGTGGAATGTCGAAGTGTCAACCACTTGCTCCAAGAGGTTAGATATGTTTATGGCATAGATTTCCATATCCCTCTATTACTACTTAAAACTCAGTGGTCATCATCTCAATGAAATGTTATGCATATGATAACACATCAAACAAGTCGTTATTTTCAAACAAACCGCATGAATAGATTGAAAAAAAACGAGTTAGAATGAGGTCGATTTCACAATGTGTAAACTGGGAGATTAGGACCAGGCCAAACAGATTCCCAAAACCAACTTTCTTACTTCATGGAATTTGAGAAATTCCCTGCATCTGCGACTGATTTGATCAAATTGTACCACAATCCACTGACAAGCATGGAGTAAATAGCAGAGACAAGTTAATCCAATTAACTTTTATGCTTATCAAATGTTGTTTGCATAGCTGTAAGGTTAAGTTTTTGGGGTCAAACAAAAGACCGATTCGAATCATGACGTTCGAGACTTCTACTGGTTCAGCTTACATAGTGGGAGATTACCTGCTGTTATTTCTTTTCGCCGATCGCATGAAAGTCACTTTCAACATTGGTCATGATGATGCGACTTTCCGGGGGCTTACCTGATGATTTGCTAGGGGCGAAGGATTTGACTTTTGAAGGCAAGCAAATTTTAAGTCGTCTCATTAACAGAACGGTGGATGATAACAGAATATGCAGCACTCGAAGTTATATAAGTTAATTGACCAAAACAATGGCACGTCAATCCAGCATCACTCACCAGTTAAGAATTAGAAATGAAAAACAGCATCACTTTTACAACTAAGTCGTCTTACTTGAAATGGCCATACTAAGCTTTCCAGAAACGTGGGCCGCTAGAAAGCAAAAGGTGCGTTGAAGTGGCTATAATTGCGATTTCAGGAGAAGGGGTTGTGTTTTGCCTAATTTTCTCGCCTAAATGTAGATCTTTTTTAAAGTTAGAGGGCACTGAGATAAAAAATCTGCGCCTATAAAGTCAGTTAACATGAGATCAATGTCTCATTCATTGTGCATGCATTAACATGAGTGGCCAATTGGAATGATTACGTCTAATTGGCCAAAAAGGATGGAGGAACTCAGGTTTACCAAAATAGCGATATACCCGAATATTCACGTCATAAGTATTAATTTAGTGTTCCAAATTGACCTATTATACCGCCAACTTATTCGTTTTGTAAAATCTCTTATACGCTGGTTGGAGGCAAGAAATTGTTAACTAGGTAAAATTTAGTCTAGTCAATTTCATAAACCAGATTCTCTTCAAGGTCAAATCTATGAGCAGACTTCACATCGTTCCCTTCGCCAATACCCCCTTACAGAATCATCACGCAATGCAATTCCCTATTAACCTAGCATTAAGCTGACTGTAATAATACCAGGCTAAGAGAACTAGCAAGAATTTAGAGAGAGAGAAAAAGACACCAATCCACACACAGAAGTTCACCAGCCACAAATCACACACATAGTAAAAGAGGAATAGCATTTGTTTTGAAACTGAATTTTCAAAAAAAAAAGAATCCACATGCAGGAAGTGGGCCAAATGGTACGTGACTGTTTTCAGCGGATTCGGCAGTCTTAAATGAAATAAAGGGCACTTTCTTCCGGATTCAGACAGTGCGAATTATGAATTTACTCGGGATCTAGAATATTTAAAGGCATTGAAAAGAAATCGATTTAACTACTTTCGCCAAACTTGGACGAAATTCAGGCGATTCACACCTCGAGTACCATTACGGTTAAGCAGTCAATCAATCCCATAATTCGAAGCAGTTCAACAGCATCAATTAATAGAGGAAGTCAGCATTGGGCTACCAGTCTTCTAACGTCTCCGTATCTGGATAAACTATAATTACACTTGATAGAGATTCCTTTTTTTGGATAATTTTTAACCAATGTGTAGACGACCAATCAAAATGCCGTGCACATGTTAAAGGTTTTAATACCTAAGGATAGTAATCAGACTAATTGCGCAAGACAATTCGACGCACTATAGAGTGGGCATTGAACTATGAGCCTATTAATGGAACCGTGACGAAGTCAGACGAATGCGAACGTCACCGCAAAAAAGCATCCGAACAGCGCGTCTTGATGTCAAACGTGCTCGATAAGGCATTATATTTGCATTGTACTTAGGAAACGTAAAATGACAAAGTAAGAGGGTACAAAACTGGTAAATTGACTAGGAATAATGCAGGTGGTAGGAGGTGCCACTAGAGCGAAGCAGAGTATAGGATATCGTGAAACGCATTTAAAACTTATAACTTTTTTTTCAAATTTAGCATGCAAAAGTCAGTTAATTTTTTAATAAGTACTTCTAGGCACTTCAACTTTCATGTCTAGTGAATGAAACAATGCTTGAAGTCAGAAAAAGAGAACTAACCTTTCCCTTCTTCACATCCTCACTAGGTTCCGGTTTAATGCCCCTCATCATCTGCAACTGACCATCCAAGGAAAAATCAATATTATAGAAAGCAAGCCCAGCACCCTTTTGCAAAGCTGGTGGTTTGGGAGGGAATCGTAACTTTGGGTTATTATCCACGTCAAATTTCTCCAAATTTTCAATTAGAAAGTGAATCGCATCTGGCAGAGTCTCTAGTTCATTATTCGAGAGGATAAGACGCTTTAGGCGGCCACATCTACATAGACCTGTAAGTGAGGATAGAAGTTGTATAAACTATCGAAATTAATAATAAGTAGTTGAGATGAGTACGATTGGGTACCTTCCGGAATATTCTCCAATTTGTTATTCGAGACATTGAGCACTTCTAGATCATTGAGTTTAGCCATTCCTGAGGGAAGACCAGAAAAGGTGAGCTGATTATCATTGAGATAGAGTTTTCTCAATTTTGTGAGTCGGGTGAGACCAGCAGGAAGACTGCAGAGTTGATTGTGACTCAAATTAAGGTATTCAAGAGACGGCCAATTGTCCGTTAAAGCTGTGAGTTCACTGATCTCATTGTGACTCAGGTCCAACTTACGAAGAGCACGCAGATCAAATATGGGTCCGGGGATGCCAACCAGCTGATTGTGGGAGAGATCAAGGTCGGCTAGCTTGGTCAGACGATCTAGCTCCTTAGGAATGTTATCCAGGCGACGATGGGTTCCTGACATATGCAAGACCTATAAAAGAGTTCAAGTATTCGACAGATAAAATACTCTTTATTGATTCCAAGGGTCGAAACAATGGGGTTCAACACGACTTTAATGGTACAATCTTCAAATAGTTGAGTTATTTCATTAAACATCCTCTATTAGCAAAGGATAGAGTAATTTAGGCACTAACCAGTGCTAACCAATTGCCCGAAGGAAGGCAAGTCTGCGACGATCCGTGTTAGAGAATAACGTTAAAATCACCTATTTGTGACCTTTGTAATGTCATTACTAAGAAAACTGTTGGACCAAATACTAATTGAGTAAATAAATAAATATAAATTGAGTAATGTTAAACTCTTTTCCATTAGACATTGACAGGCGACATTGTTGCTCTACTAACCAAATAGTAACATGAACTAATCGAGGACACACGAATTAATCGATGCTTGCAAAAGTTCCGTAAAAGACACGCTTGTGCAAAATTAGAAATAATGCAATTGGTCAATTCATAACAACGCGATTACGCGCCTTAAATATTGGAATAAACAAGGGAGCAATGCACAACTGATTTAAATTCGCCATTAATTTAATTGGGATTCGGTAACTAATGGAGATTTTGTGCATATGCTTACCCCTAAGACATTTCTTAATTAAATGAAACTATATTTATTTCATACTGCTCGATTTGACCAAGTCAAGCGTAAATTATTAGGCCACAAAGTGTCAATGAAAAAAAACCAGTCAACCGAGACAACAGTAAATGAATGTGCGCTCACTAATAGCCTATTAGGTATGAGTTTAATAAAATCTCCAAAGGCATTGGCACAATCTATTGCCTCTTTGAGATAAGTAGAACAAAATGAAACTACAGCCAAAATACAAGAAACCCGTATGGAAAATTCAATGGAAATTACTTAAAATACCACCCTTCTCCTAAGAGGGCAAGTCCAAAGGGAGACAACCGTGAATCAAGTCTTTAAACATGTTTGACCTAATTAGGTTCTCTGTGTGTGTGTGTGTGTGTGCGTGTGTGTGTGTGTTGATCAGACCTTAACCTTAACGAGCACTTAATCATCGTTTCATCACTTATTGATACATCTTAAATCCATGTGCGGAACACAGAGTGATTCTGTAGCTAACGCAGACTACCAATTTTAACCTCTAGCATATCACCTTTGACAGCTTCTAAAACGTTTCCGTATAACCAAAATTTCGTCCACCTTGGTGCATAACCACATCCACAATCCTACATTTTTTATGTAATACTTTTAAACCTTACACGTTTCATGTAGTTATCTCCATTATCGTTTGTGACTGCATAGCCTTTATCTGATCTATATTTGGCAACTTAATTAAAGGAGAAAAGTAAATTAGTAAGGCCTATCCATTTTAGATAGGTAATTTGAAAGCCCCAAACTCGTCCCACCAATTCCAAAACATTCACAGCTGAGAATAGATCACATATCGATACATTTTATCGATTCTCACCTCCAGATTTTTTATAGCAACGATAGTCCTCGTTTGATAGTGCTGAAAAGGATTATTATTCAAAATCAGTTGTTGAAGTGACGAGCATCTCCTTAGTTGAGCCGGTAGCAACGTCAGACAGTTGCCCGACAGATCTAGCAGCATCAATTCTGTACATTCGGTGAAAATCTCCTGTGGTACCGATGTCAACTGATTATCACTCAAGTTGAGCACCAGTAGTCCTGAAGCATTCTCAATCCCCTTCGGCACTTGAGTTAGCTGGTTACAACTGAAGTCTACAACTTGGAGATTGGGACAAGAGAAGAGGTCGGGTGGGATGGCATCCGCGGTAGCCAAATGATTCTTTCGACAATTGAGCACACGAAGATTGGGGAAAACTTTGGGCCAATCGGTGATAGAGGTAAGGCGGGTGAGCTTATTCTTAGCTAGAGAGAGATATTCAAGCCTACTGAGATACTTGAGCTCGCTGGGCAAGTCTGAGTTTGTGAGTTGGGAGTTGCGAAGTTTTAGCCATTCTAAACGGGCCATTTTTTCAAGGGGTTGGGTGCAAGGGAAGACTGTCGAAGCGGCCGAAACAATGGCACGATTTTTACTGCGTCGGGCCACACCATCCGAAGACTGGGCAGCTACATGTTCCCCCACGGAGCCAAAGTTAACTCCTGAGAGGTCAAGACCACGAAGGAACTGTGTTACCGACTTAGTACCACCACCTCCACTGTTACCACTGCTGGTCATGATTTTAAGATATTAATTTTGACTGCAGCGCTTGAATTCGCGCCTACAAAAAAAACAAAAAAATTACACTATTAACAAACACCGATGGTGTAAGAGGTAATCGAAATGACAGTTTACCTGAATACGAAGCAGGTTGGACTCCACGGCTTGTAAGCGTGTATTTGCTGTACTTATTTTCTGGATGTGTTGGTGAAGGTCAACAGGAGGGACGATCCAATTAAACGATTCAGCAATATCTATAAAACAGCAATTTTTTTCTAATTTTGGGGTGACAATATTCATAAAAAAATATGCTGAATGAACAACTAATTGAAGAGCAGCTAGATAGTCTCGAGTACACAGAGGATACAAATGTATTGAGATAGAGAATCAACCACCTTGCAATCCATCGGATAGACAACCTCGAACTCTATTGACAAGCATGTCGATTCAAGGAAATAATATCGAAAGTTGAGTGCATGCCAGATATCTGGGGATCAAATCCTTAAGCTTGTTGTAACTAACTTACGATGATTAAAAACGATCAAAATGTCGAATGAGATGACAGAACCCCAATAAACATGGGCTGCAGAGTCTATGCTTTGCCATTGTATAAACAATTACAATAGGTGGTCTACAAGTAACATACCTCCTCAACTAGTAGGCACAAGCCAGTGCAGACAATGCCTGTCATCCGCTCAGTGGTGTTTTAACATCAAACGGCAAACACTATAGCAATTAGGCATTGTTTAATTGAATGTAGGTGATGTAGCGCTCAATCTGTCTTCTTTCCTTCCTATTTGGCCGTTTGTAAAATAACCTCAAAAGATACTCTCAGGCAAGTTCTTTTAAATATAAAGGAAGCTAGGAAGATTTTTTTATAGACGAAAAGGTATTGTGCAACTAATGCAAACGATACACAATGAAGTAATGTCATATCCATTATTTCGATAAAATGGAAAAAAGGATTCGAAAGATGCTGAAATAAAAAAAGGTTGAGAAAGCTTACTTCGTGAAATTTCTTCCAATAGAGCCTTCAAGCTACTCTGATTTGTCAAGTAGGAAGCAACAACTTCGTCAAGCTTCTCAATACTGGGTTTAAAGAGGTCCACAAAGACTTCGGTTGTGATAGAAGAAAGCGCTTGTGGTGAAGTGGGTCCAGAAGAAAAATCGAGACTCGTGTTGTTGCTACTATCCTCAATCGAAGTGGATATATTCCGATTTTCGTGGAGTGGATGTGAATTTTTGCGTAATATTCTATCGTGTCCGACTACAGATCGGGATTCAATAGAAGGCTGAATTTGAATTTCTGTGTCTTCTTGAAGATCAGAGTTGTTTGAACCTGGTCGTTTTTGTTCAGCCAGTGTTGCGCCTTGGGTTTAAGTGGAGATAATGACTGAGTGTGACTGAAATAAATGGGATTTTAATTAATGCATGTACATCATATAGGTGTGCATAACAAATGTGATCAAGTACCGCACCAATACATATTATGCATTTTACACTAACACCATACAATTACATTGAGTTCAAACTCAACGTAATTGAAGCCTACGATTACATTCCCTATGGGAGAATTTACACTAACGAATTGCACCACATAGGCTGAATCCATATCAATACAGGAAGATCACTAAACATTAATTTAGTTAATGACGTATAAGTTTTATCCCCAACTGAATAAAACCTGAAATTTACTTAGGAAAGCCCATCTAGGGTAGATAGGATAGGATCGTGGGGTCCCCCCCCCCTAGGGTAAGAACCTTGGTCTCTGACATCCTTTTTACTAAGCAAATTCAACCACAATGCAAGTGTCCCAACCCATAGGCACTAAATCACTGATCTCTGACTTAGCCGACGAAGGTTCTAAATATTGGGCAACTGGTGCCTATAACACTGACGTATATAGTCAATGAAATGACCAAACTTAAAATAAAGATGTTTTTTTCTGCAACTCACTTGATCCTAAATAAGAATTATTTATTTGTTTATTTATATATTACGTAGTCGCGATTCATGAATAAACTCCTCAAATGAACTTTGCAATTCCTTATGGCAAAAAATTTCAAAACACTGACGTGATATCAGACTGCTGATGGAGCAAAAATCAATCATAGCTCTAGCATGCACTAACAAACAGACAATCAAAAGCGGTGGGACATGCAGAAAACCCCTTGCTAAATCATTACTTTTATTGCATTGATTAACAAAAGACAAAATGGAGAACAAAGAGAAGATACTAGCACAAACATATGAAGAGAAGGGATACACTAGGCACAGAACAAAAGCCAATAATCTGACGTTGTGGAGTAAAACACACACAGAGGTACTGATACTACTGATAGCATAATAAGTAGCAAGGTGAAGGGAGATGTGTACAGATAAAATGCAGCTACTTATGTACAAGAAGTCATTCGAAAGACACGGGATTATGTGGAGGTTAGTATTCAAATTCGTCTTAGAAATCTGTTACAGTAACATCTCCCTCCTTATTCAGCTGTTCTTCAAAGTCATCCACTTCATGACTGTCGGCTAGAAGAACTTGATTTGGAGATTCTACAGAAGACTGGCTTTTCAGGGGATGGATAACCATTTTTCTCTGTTTATGAGCACTATCTCGAAGACGGTTCAGTTGAGCGGAGAGTAGACCATTGATTGCACGAACCCATTGAGATTGAACTTGCTGGTTATTAGATTGAAAGTAATAGGTTTGGGCTCGAGTAGCCGTCCAGACTCCAAAGCGTCGACGATCTTCGCGGATTGTCGGAGTCAGACCAACCTCTGTCAGCTGAAAGCAAGAACAAGATGTTAATCCAAGATGCTAATCAATGCTACTTAAGAAGAAATAGGTACGAAAGAACACCCACTTTGAGTTCCATCTTGATCTCATACGTTGGATGCTGACTAACTGTATCAGCAGGTATCACAGGTAGAGAAGCAGGAAGTCTATCCAGAGCTGGTTTATTGAAAGCTGCACCACTGGTGATGCCTGATGAAGAATCTTGACTAGAAACCACACTGCTAGCAGAAGGGAGGGAGATTGTTTCAGGCACAACAATAGTAGAGGGCTGGTGGCTACTGGAACCACCACCACTACCACCTCCTAAACTAGCTAACACAGTGGATACTAGCGAAGTATTGGTCTGACGAAGCTTGGTTAATAAGAGAGCATTTTCAAAAAGGAAGACATGGCGTTGATGCTTGCCGTTTTTGGTCTCACCGCACCAGATGGTAAAGTTGTCCTGAAGCAAAACTTTTCCGAGACGCGATGGTCGATCCTTTAGACAAATGGAAAATTTAGAAGAAAGACGATGATGGATGGATTCCATTCAAAAAATATAACAAAATATACTACAAACTAACAGTACAAATTACTACCCGACCTCACATTTTGGCATAGACTGCATACTTTCAATATTCCACAATATTACGGGTCACACTGACACAGAATTTGTTAAGGGACATGTTACCAACACTTAAATTGGATTAAGGCGGAATATTCTTTAGACGCTTTTACGAGAAATACATATTCAAGTCAAACGGAATTAACCAGACTAGACACGCACCAATGGGGTTTCATATCGTGACCCCTGAATTGGCAGATATGCGCGTTGGCATTAGTGAAGTAAGGTCCGTTTATCCACTTTATGGAAATAAATCACACAAAAAAAACCAAAAAAACATCTTAACTACCAATAAATTTACATTAACATTTGATGAGAATGCTCGTCTATAATCATCTTGCAGTTGATAGTAGTAATTTAGGAAGGAGAACCTTGAATCTCCAAAATTATACTGCAGTAAATTGGTTCAAAAGAACATAATTTCAAGTGAATCATTATTGCGCGTTAATTGTGGCAAGTTAGGAAAGTTAGAATAGGCAAACGCGTATCCAAGCCTAACTGACTTAGATATTGGCTCAGTATTAATCAATGAAACCTCTAAATGCTTTCTCGTTGCACTGTAAGGCAAGTGTTTATAAGCACGCATCGCCAGCTTACCCCCAAATCATCGGAGCCAGTATAATACCTTCCTTCAAAATTAGGCAAAAATAAATACATATTGTCAATACTGGTCTGAAGACAAATTTATTCCCCAATAGCAGGATCGAATTAGTTAATAAATACTCATTAAATTGAGTTGGGGCCTAACTCAAAATGCAGTTTAGTTGTGGCAATGCCAAGACTCAATAAAAAAAAACAAATTCAAACTGGTCGAAATCAATACATTATGAAAATGAATATCATCTGCTTTTTTGATTAAATATTATTTAAACGGAAAGATGCTTTCTCAAAGTATGCCAGAGATAATCCCCTCCCCCTCTTCACTTTGTCGGTAGACTGACCTTGACTTCGATTAAACTCGAAGATGTGATATACGTCAGGAAAAAAATGGGAAATGAGACAGACAAAAAATTACTTACAGTTAATCCTCGTATCCGCATGAGAGCATTAACCGTATCGCACATATTCAACATTGATTGATGAGCTTTACTCAATGCTTCTCTGCAAAAATAACAAGACAAACCGATCATTATTTAGCGTTTTGAGAAAAGCCAACCTTCATTAAATTCAAAAAAGTTTACTTCTGAGGTCCCTCTGGAGCATAATTTCGCAGCCTCTCAAGCAACAAATGATATCTCTGGAATCGTTGAGCCGGCTCTAGTAGTCTGGAACTATAGGAGAGTAATGAACGACTAAGAGAAGCTGATTTCAGTAAAGGAGCCGGTCCTTGGGAATTCTTTCTCGAAGGGGGAGGCAAATTTTCCTCATCCTCTTCAGCAGTGGCTGTTACATTTCCACCCGAATACTGCGCCAATCGGTCAGGAGTCTGGTTATTATCGAAAGTAATACAGGAATTTGCGCGGTTCAGACTTGCAACTTTACGCAGATCGATGTCCATTCGTTTCTCATCGTCCTTTTTCTCCCCATGATTGTCGGAGTCGAGCAGGAGTTTCTCTGCTTCCAGAGAACCGAGATGTCGATTGTAGGCTGTAATCCATTGACTGTGGAGACGGTCTTTCTCGAATGCTATTGCATATTGTGTTGCTCTCTCGTAATTCAAGCAGTAGGTTGTATAGAGATCAACTAGGTTTGCCCACTGAAATGGAGAGAAGTAGTTCAGAATACTGCGCAGTGACAAAAGCCAACGAAAAAACATTATTGCATTTTAAATTTTAACTCCTTGCAAGTTATGCTAAGTGAAAGACAATAAGAAAGTAAGAAAGCTACTTTTCAAAAAAAATTGATAAAAAAATGTTCTAGGTACCCTAAGGAAGAACGGAAGAACATTTTTTGCATCACGAATATTACATTCACGCTCAAAGTTTACCAACTATGGCCATGAGATACAACCTATCAGATCCGCATAGTAGTGGTGATTATTAACAAGGTACAAAATCCATCACGATTAGCAAATGGAAGAAAAGACCACGCCTTCGTGTGAATTATGGACCAAAATAGAAACGTGACTTTGTGTTTTTTTTACTAATAACCATTGCTCTGCCCTGACCTAATTATACCTCAGTCCTGTTTTAGCAACACGCTCTATTAGACTACTGCTTACAAGTCAGACATTTCCTTCGTGTTTGCTTAAACACGTGCCCATAGGCATCAACTTTAAATGATTCCCACCTTGGTTTGGGGGAGAAAACAGAGTTCTGGAGATTTTAATGATGAATTTACGCTGGTAGATGACACTTATCAGTGGATTAGAATACACTAGTATCATGGACCAATCAAACGTTCCGGAATACGCGACTTGTCCGTGTAGATCTAATCAATGAGTCAACAAGCCATGATTTGTGTGATATACTATCAGCTCTATTGAATTAAACAAAAATCTCATCGCCAAATACAAGGCAACCACCGTGGTAGTAGCATGGTCAATAGCTGTTTGAGGCCAACCAATGACATCCATTGAAAACATCTGTTGAGATTTTGTATACACATGGAAATGTGCAAAGGAACTGCGCCAGATTCGGACAATCATATTGAGGATTAGTCATAACGGCCGCCGACCAGACAGGATTTTTAAAAAATACACAGCAGTCAAATGCACGACGAGTCAGCGTGGACAGCAGACGTGTGAACATAGTTAAATGAGTATAGCCAGTCAAAGACCGTTAAACTTGTTCCTTCGTGGGGGACTATTAATAAGGGGATTCCGTGAATACAACATAGACAGGGTGTACAAACTAGGCATTCTTTTCAAAAGTAGCGTTTTGAATAGTAGAGGGCTGAATCGGTTCAAAAGAATGAGCACTTTCACTTGAACAGTGGGCATAAAATGACTGGAGGTAGCCTTAATGGCTTCTACTGACTACACAACTAATAGACACTGTAAAATATTACTTACACCTACGGGTAACAAAGATGTTGATAGAACAACGGAAAAGCAGTTTAAGTTGTGAAATGAATGTACACCCATTAACAACAGATCATCTCCACTAAGATTTCGACCTCAGAGTTCGAATCACAGAAGAAATGGGCGGTGTAGGAGGGTTATAGGTATAAGGAGAAAAAAAGAAGAAAACAACCACAAAGAGTCATCCTCCAAAATAGGACAAAATCTGAAATAAAACAAGATAGATTATAGCTCGATTGTTTCGAGTCGCAGAAATCTGAATGTGCATTAATGAGATTAGCAAAGCGTCGCTGATTTATTCATACAGAAAATATGCAAATGTATCAGAACAACTAACCCCCCCCCC